ATGAGCCTTCAGGTGAGAGGCAAATTGGCATTTAAGTGGGCAGGAAATGTCTTGGCATATAGTGAGGTTCATCTCCTTCAAAAATTCCTCTCCTCTTAGTTACCACTGGGGAAATTAGCTTATAGGACTAATGTAGTGTAAGGATCTCTGAGCACTACAGGCTGCAAACTTGAGAAATTGTCCTTATTTAGCAGGGGAATGTAATAATTCTTGTTTCAAGTTTTGGTTATATAGTGAACTTGGGAATGTAATAGTGAAGTCACCATGAGGAACTATAACCATTATATAAAATTTTCACAAAGGCCACGGTCATTGTTGAAGTGAAGACTCTGGCTGGTATACTTTGATGTAGAAAGGATAAATAGAACAAAAATACCCTATATAAATGTCATTGACAATGACACCATTATACTATACTGAATATATACTGTATTTGGTATCTTGTAATTTCATGAAATATTGCATATTTATATGTAATTATCCTTTTCGTGGGAAGTTCTTTCTAATCTGAAATGCTTTCACTATTTTTGTGTTAAAATTATATTTAATTTTTACATACCAAGGATTATCAAGAGAAATTTAAATCAACTGGCTTTTCTCAAATGCATACTAGCTGTGTTCGGAATAAAATTAAATAATGAAAATTGTCACAGTGATATTTTCTTATATGGCTTTGCATCATTTTGGTCATTACCTACAAGAATTTTTTTTAAGAAGGCAAACACTGATTGAGTGTATATCTGTACCGAAATTAAATGTCTGTTCATTCATAAATTAACCTAACATTTATTGATCCCATGCTCTGTGCAAGGGACTGCATATGCAGAGATTAATAAATGATCTGCATCCCCAGGAATATTCAACCTGGGAGTTTATAGTTAAAAAAAAAAAACCAAAAAACATTATTAAACAATTGACCCTACATTTTTAGAAGTTTAATTTTGGGGCAAATATGTTTAAATCCCTTAAAACCTAAATGCGTCTTTATTCGTTACTGACCTTGGCAGTTTTTCGGAAGTCTTAAACTTTACACATTGGTGAGTTACCCTGGCACAGTTTACTTAAATGATTGGGTTCACAGCTTATCTTACCATCAGATGCTCAGATCAGCATTTTCCCACCATCTTTCATCCTGTACATGTAGCTCTAAATTAATTCAAGTTAAAAAAAAAAAAATTACTTATTTTTTTATTTCCCTTTTTGGCCCTTGCAGCGTGACCCAAAAGGCAGGAAGAGTAGATGAACGCTTGTTCCACTTTTTTGATGAAACAGAAAAGCTCCCATTCAGAGAGAGGTGCAGCTGGTGTTGTCTTGTGGTGCTTCATGCACAATGACTGAAAGGCCAAAAGCGAGGCTCAGCCGCACGTGCAGTGGTATTGACAGTGCCACTGTCAGGGCACACAGCAATCGAGTCATGCATAGCATTTGATTTTTTGCTACTACACACACACACACACACACATATACACACTATGGGAGGGGCAAAAAAAATTTTACAATTGCACAGCAAACAGTTCCTACAATGCACAAAATAAAAACTTCAAAAGATACAAAATGTGATACAGTAAAAACTCAATTTCCCTGCCACCTGGGACTCCCAGTCCCCAGAGGCGACAATTGTTACAGTTTGTTATGTATCTTTCCGGAGAGATTCTGTTAGGGTACCACCGCCAGCCTATTCTTTTTCCTCCCAAAGCCAAGGGCTTTGAAATAGACGATTGTGTATTTTAAAGTATCCAGCAGTACATTAAATATGAAAAGCAAGTGTGACAATAGTCTGTGTAGTATGTTTCCATTTTTGAAAATAATAATGCATGAGAAGAGAAACGCAGAGCAATGATGTACCAGAATGTTAACAGTTATGTGTAGGGTGGGGTTGCAGTGGAGGGCCAGATGTACTTTATTCGGAAGCTAAACTCAGTATTATATGAACTTTTAAAAATAGGAGCAATATAATCTTTTTCACAGTAACGATTTTTTTTTTTTTTTTTTTTTAGCTAAGAGGCAGATTTCCAAGACGTATTCTGTGTGTGTAAATTTGTACTTGTGTGTGAGGAGTTCTTGTTCCTTTAGACTTCAGCTCTGTGACTGGTTGTCCTTCTAAGGCTATAGTGAGTTGGCCTCTGTCCTTACTTTGAAGTCATGATAACAAGTTTGAGCTAAAAATAAATTCTTACAGGAGAGTAGGTTTTATTCAGCCTTTGGATCCTTCACAAATAAGTTAACCAAAACACTTATTTGTGGAGAGGGGATGGCAAACATCATGTTAAATCATGTACGTTTTATTTCTAAGTCATAAATCCCTCTAGTCAATGCATAATATTGTTTTCTTTCATGTTATTTCAGAGCACCTTTGCCTTAACCTGAGAAACACAGTGGAATAACCATTTGCAGTTGTTAACTAGTGGTATTGAATTTTTGTATCCTAACTAGTTCAGGCTCCTGATTGCTAAATTGAAGAATCACACAAAATATGTATAAAGGCCGAGAATGTGCTTGGCGTGTAGCATTTTTCAAGAGCAACTTGATAGAATATTCATAGTGAATTTTAAATCTAGTACTCATTAATTAATTGAATGATTCCATTTCTCTGAATGTGTCTTCTGCTGGAAATCAGTCGTTATATACTGGGATGTTTAGCCTAATAATTTTATTTCTAATACTATTTGCCAATATAAGAAACATGAAGGGAATTTTAATGTCTAAAATAGAGGAAGGGTTACATAAATTTTGGCACATAACTAGCCCATCAGTAAATAAGGTTCTTGAAGATGAATTGATAACATGAGAAATAATTTATAATATTATGTTAAATGCAAAAAAGAATGATATAAATATCCGTGCCTTAATTTTTCAAAAGAGTATGTGTGTATATGTAAATGCATCTGAGGGCAATTTTTTTTTTCTTTTCAGTATTTTCCAATTTTTAAAAAACAAATATCTGTTAACTCTTTTGAAGTTATGAGACTATTTTAAATAATCTTAATAAAATTGCTGAAGACAGTAATTATTAAGGTTGGGGTGTATTTTCTCATTTCAAGCTATTGATGAAAAGTTTTCTTTTTAAATGATTTTTTTTTCCATCTGAGAATGCTAGTACTGGAAGGATTCTTTCATATCTAATATTGTTAGCAACTTAAATTTTTGCATCATAATCTATTTTATTCATTAACAAATCTGAAGATGAACATGAATAGGTAGTAGTTCTTTCCTTGGGTCCAATGGAATTTTACCCTTAACTTCTTAGAGAATATGCCTTTATTGTTCATCTTTATAAATTTCACTCCGGTTACTTTAGTCCCCTTGTTTGTTTTATTCTTTTCTTGCATGAGGAACACCTGTCAGTATTTTTACAAATTGCTTTTCTGGTGTTTGTTTGCTTGCTTGCTTGTTTGTTTTGGTTCACAGAACTGTTTTCTATCTTAGAGTGAAATAGCCTGTCACTATTTTTCAAATTATATTAGATTTCCAGCAAAATCATTCAGAAGCCGTTAGGGAGCCCTTAATGATCTTTGATAAGGTATGGTTTTATGTGTATGTGTGTTTACTTTTGATGCTCCTTAGTTTAAGTGCTCATAATAATGCTCACTGTGAATTGTGTTGCAAGTCAGGGACAGGTGGCATTTGTGTGCATATTCTTTAAGAATGTGAACCGATAAAATGTGTGAATACACGTCCTGATGGCACTATAAAATACAGGCCGCGTGTGCGTGCGTGTGTGTGTGTGTGTGTGTGTGTGTGAGTGAGCATAATTCACTGTACTTGAAGTTCAAAGTCAGGCGGGGGCAGCCGGCTAAGTTGCAAAACAGCCCTTCCTGTGAAGGGACTGTGCCCGAGTACAGTCCAGAACTCTCTTGTGTTAGTTTTACGTTTCTATCCGATGGAGTTTAAGGTTATGGAAACAACTGTGAAAATAGTTTGTCCAAAAGAAGTCTGGATATGAAGAAATATAATAGAGAAAATATTTGAGAAGATGGTTCGTGAGCCAGTGCAACAGATACTCTTCCTCAGGCACCACATGGTGTGGATCAAAAGCGCCCCAATGACTGGCATCCCTGTGGCCAGATCATTACCTATTGATTGAAACCCCACTGGAAGATTAACCCCTTCGTGTCCATGCCAAGTTTTCTCTCGATCTTTGTTTCAGTAATTTTAGAAATAGAATCTCCCACTATTAGCTTTTTTTTTTTCTATATAAAAAAAAAAAAGGCTCAGCATCTCTACTTGGATATATATTTCTTTCTAAATTATTTTATTCTGAATTATTTAACCCTTTGCACTCGGATGCCGAGTGTGACTCGACACGGTTAGCAGAAATTCTCGAGATTAAAATGACTCTTGGAGTGTATCGATAATTTGAAATATAAAATAATCCAAATAAGTTTGTATGAAAAGGAACCCCAGTTTTTTATTCTACTACCGCACTTTGTAAAATCTGGGGTATTTAAAAAATTAAATCCCCAGGAGAATAAAGGAATCGAGAAAAAAAGCAAGCGAGTGCAAAGGGTTAATTGCACTATTTGCTGGATAAAATTAACTTACGGGGGAAAAAAATTATACAGTTATATGAAAGTTTCTGGGGGAAGGAAAGAGGAAAAAAATGTATAATGTTCTGGGTAGAAAACATAGCCAGGGAATCTCAAAATCAAGTACAGATTTTATAATTTTCATTATGTAGATTAAATAAATTCTAGCTTTTTAAAGACTTCCTTTCACAGTCAGAGTTGAGCTTTTGCCTCTGACAAAAGCCTGTCAAACACTTTTCATACTTAGACGTACGTTCCTAACATTTGACTAGACACATTTAGGTACAATGCAACTCTTGCTTTTTTAACAAACAATTGCAGAAATAATTAGTGGATTCCATGGGAAAAGAAAAATCACAGATTTGTCATGTCCGCATTTGGCCATGTGGGCTCCAAGAGCCTTTTATATCCTCGCCTGGTGGAATGGTGCTTGGCAGCAAACTCACTCTCTTATCTTCTGTGTTTTCCTTTCAGCTTGTCCCATGAGGAGCACCCCCATAGTCACCCCCTCTATGGACATGGCGTGTGCAAGTGGCCGGGCTGCGAAGCAGTGTGCGAAGATTTCCAGTCGTTTCTAAAGTAAGGACGATTTTATTTTGTTTTTTTTCTTCTTTTGCATAGGCATCACCTCCCACTGTTCATGCTTTTGCTCATAAAATGCCTTTTTGACGGAGAGTTTCACATCACCCTTTTTGAGAGCAGTCTCTAAATCACAAGGTCTAGCGCACTGTCATAGGAATAGCGACAAAATCTATCGGGTTGGACGGTGGAGGGAAAGAGACTGACACGCCAAGGCAGTAGTACTCTTAGTAAGAGCCTGTATTTACTCATTTTTCAGAATGACAGTGATTTGTAAAGAAATTATCCCGATTTTAAACTTATAGTAATTTAGTTTTCACTTTTACTCACGTCCCTACATATGGAATCAGTGACATATGGCCTTAATGCTGATTTTATCAAACTGGTGTCACTTACTGGCCAGTTGCAGCTTGGTGACTGGGCTCCTTTGTTGTTATACAAGTGACTTTACAAACCTACAAGACAGATGCTTGAGGAAATACTTCAAAGTGATTTTCCTCTTTCTATATTGGTTGACTTCTGTTCAGATTCTTGTCCTGATAGGGAAAGAAAATGGAGTAAGTTTAATTTCTGCTATTAAAGCATGACTAAAACTTGGGTTATCCTGTTTGAGCCTCTCACACTGCTAAAATATCTCTGGAAGAAAAGGGTATGTTAATCTTTTTCATAGCTGAGGTGAAATGTTGCTATACTACATCTAAATATGTCCCTCACCTATGGTACTTTGTCAGCTAAAAAAAAAATTTAGATTAAACTGTCCTGTGCTTTTTGACATCACATAAATACATTCATAATATCATCGGCTCTGACTTATGGACTGCATATTCTATTACTTTATATTATATACCTAAATCATGTAATAAACAACATACATATATATAACTCCTATACATCTGGTGCATAATGAGGGTTTATAAATTGGGTGTCAGGGATACCTTTGCCTCTAGTTATTTTTTTTCTCTCATTGAAGCCCCAAGAAAAGAGAAGAGGGCTGACTTATGGGCAGGTCTCCAGTTTTGTGTGGTCTTCATGTTGCTAGAACAATCTCTATATCTATCTTTATGGACCTGGATACAAATATTGTAATACAGCTACCCTTAGCGATATAGCTAGTTTTAACCTGCAAGCGGTTTTGTTGAATATAGTGTTTTGATTAATGCGTGGAAGCCTATGAATGTATTTCATAGCTTCTCAACTCAAATATTTTACTTCAAGGGCATTATGTGGTCATTGAGAACTTGAATACTCAAAACAATTTTTGAAGGAGATGTCCAAAATTGCTTTTAAATATCAACAATCAAGAGCAGCAATGCTTTATTCTAAATTAAGCAATAATTCTTTGTAATTATTATGAATCAGATTAGTGATATAGGACTCTGTTCTCTTTATAAGTCACTCACTATAGAATCTTTTTTTTTTTTGGTTTTTTTTTCTGATCATTTGCCTAATCCTATTTATATAATGAGAGAAAAATAACTTGGCAGAAACCACTTTTAAATTCTGATTTCTCCTTCTGCACCAGGGCGAGGTTTGGTAAATATTTTGCTGCTGATTTCACTCATGTGTAGAATGGCTGATAAATATCTATAAATATGATTCTATATAAAATAAGTCTCTAAACTATATCATTGTCACTTAGAGTCAGAAAGGGAAAATACCGGTTTCCCAGTTTGACCCATTTAAAAAATTTTGTTAATGGCCAAAGTGTTTCTGCCCTAATAATCCCCAAATCATAGATTCATTTATTATGTGAGCTGGCAATTCGTTGGTGTATATATCTTTCTGAAAACAGCACAATTTCTAACTGTACCTAATGTTAAAGAAAAGAATCTAAAGATCATTAGAATTTGGGGCCTAAACTTGATTCCTATTAAAAAAAAAAACAAACAAAAAAAAAACCTGTTTCTCTTCTAAGGCTCTTAGGAGTCTGGCTCTTGTATAGGAAACTACCTATTAATTATCTATTGTGGTTTTGCACATGACCTAGCATGTTCTTGGTTCCTGTTTGCTCAGTGGAATTGGACTGCCACGGTCATTCTGCAACTGTTGCTTGGTTATTTCCTGGTACTTATTTATCGACTTATATTCATCAGAAGACTTCTGTTTGTGAGCCAAAGAAACCCAACTTAAATTTGATCATTTTTTCCCCTGTAGCCAAGAAATCCAGTGGTCTTCAGAAAGTAGCTAAGAAATCCAGTAGCTAAGAAATCCAGTGGTCCAGGTGCTTAAACAAAGTTTTTTTCCAAGTGGAACTGAAAAGCATGACAGGTCTCTGTGATACAGGTCTGGTCTCTTCCTTGTAGCTCTAAAAAAAAAAAAAAAGCCCTGGGCAGAAGGTGGATTGGCCCACGTTGAGTCATGTGTTCTAGCTTTGAGCCAATCACAGTGACATGCCCAGGCTTGTGTCATGTGCCCAGAGCTTGTGTCACGTGCCCAGAGCAGAGGGAACCCACATGGGGGCCCGGGGGTGAGAGTACCTTGCTTCTTCCAGAAGGTACAAGCGAGTATCGTAAAGGAGCAGAGGGAGAACAAATGCTGGATGAGGGAAGAACACCCTAGAACTCAAAAGTTCCCTTGGCGCTTTCCTGAGTGACCCGGTGATTGGTGGCATGTGACAAATTCAGGATTTCAGTTTTCCTCCCCGGTGTGATTTTAACACTTGGAAATTCAGAGTTGTCTTCAGGTATTATCATCAGTGGAAAATCAGTTAGTCGTCTCGTAGATTCATGACTCCCACGTGTCCTTCCAGTCTAAAGGGAAGTGAGATTGGCTGTAATGAAACCAGGTTTGTTTTCCATTGAACTGTACCAAAAGAAGCTACCAAATTTCTTGTGGTCCTAGTAAAAACCACCTGACTTCTGTGAATGATGTCATCGAGACGAGGGACCATTGTCACCAGAGAGTGATGTTCCTGGCATTTCTCCTCAAATTGCTAGATCTGTGGATACTGAAAGCATCTCTTTCCTGGGTCAACTCTTCAGTCATCTCTGTGTTTTAGAAGGGATTTCTTACAGTTTAACACGTTGACTGCCACCACACTAGGAAAACCATTTTCCTGGGGCCCACAGTGTTTGATTAAAACAAAGCGATCCTTTCTAATTTGTTATGTTTTTTTTTTTTTTCGGTGCATGAGTTATGTGCAACGCAAGCCACGTTTTTTAGAATTAAATTGTCACTATTGATTGTAACAATAAGAACATCAACATGTAAGATTTTCACAAACCAGCTGTGGGGTTTTGCTTTATGTGGCCCCAGGTTCAGAACTAGCCTGAGTTAAATACAACTCACAGGGCAGTCAGTGTGTTAAGCAGATTGATACCAGTGGTGCTTGGCTTCTTCAAGGTGCTCTTTACTCAACAAGAGGTAGCATTGCTTTGACCTTGATTTAGCTATTAGCGTCACAGATTTTTTTTTCCCACCTATTTTCTCATCCCCTGATTTAGACTCCTTTAGTAATAGTTTATAATTAAATAGCCCTTAAACTATACAACACGCTTAGTCCCAAAGTGCTTCATATTTATGAACTCATTTAATCCTTATAGCCACCTTATCATGATAATATGGTAGGATTATTCCCAATGTACAGTCGAGAAATTAAGGCACAGAGAGGTTAAGTGACTAACCCCGGGTCACACAGCCCATAAAAACTGGAGCCAAGATTCAAACCCAGGCAGCCTGACTTCAGAGTACTTGTTCTTTAACTGTTTCACTGTACTGCCTGGTCAGAGGCAGCACCTTTTAGTAACGATTTGCTTTCTACTTGACAATGGATGTAAAGAAAGTTTTGGAGATAAGGCAGATTGGGTAGTGAAGCCACTTGCTATTGGTGTGTTCTCTGAGCCAGTTCCTACCCAGCATCTCTGAGCTTCAGTAATCAGCACGTGGGATTTGGGATGTTAATAACAGCCTTTTAGGGTTGTTACAAGGTGCATCGTGTGGACTGCCTAGCTCTTACTGGGTACTCTTTAAAAAAGTATTGGCACTTCTTATCTGCTTACATTACATATATTTTGAAAGGATGGGTAATTTTAAATATCCAAAAATTTCTGACCCTGCACCCAGGGAAAAGGGCCGTGGCTATGCAAAGCATTCATTGATAATGTCAGAAGAAACTGCTTCAATTTGTTAATCATATATTTCTGGTAGAAAGTCCCACGCACAGGGGCAGGGGGTGGCAAATTTTTTCCATCAAGGGGCAGACAGTAAGTATTTTCGGCTTCGCAGGCCACAGAGTGTCTGTCACTAGGAGTCACCTCGGTCGTGGTGACACAAAAGCAGCTGTAGGCCACGAGTAAGGGATGAGTTTGGCCGTGTCCTCTGGACCCTAGTTTGCTGACCTCTGACCTAGGGTCCCATTTTGGGTGTCGCCGACATAGTTTTTAACACAAGTGTTCCTGTGGTCCCTGGACATTGCTGTCTTGGGCATTGGGAGCCCTCAGCTTTGCCCATGTTTGGTGGGAACACCCATGCCTGTCATACCCCGAGATTTCATTCAACCACAGTTGTCATACTGCCCTGGGCTTGGGTCCCTCCACCTGGTTTTTGTGGCTCAGACTGGGGCAGGGGAGGTGACTTTGCCAGGTAGCTAGCTGTCTCTTCTGTCCTTCTCTTGCTCCGGATTAATAAGATGTAACTGTTAACAGAGGCCACGATCAGCAAGTTTTTTTCAGGATAAAAAAAAAAAAAATCCCATCTGTCAATAAAAGTGCCACCGAGGAGAGCCACTTCACAGAGACCAGGGCTAGGGAAGAGGGAGGGGGACTCACGGGTCCCCTTTCCCCCTCCTGAGAAAGAAATATCATAACTGTTGGTAAATCAAAACCAGAGATTTGACACTTTTCTGTGATCATTCTGCAGTGTTTGTTCCCAAGGTGAGCTATACCACAGGGCCCTTGATTTCAAAGATAAATACTGTACAAATAACCATCCTGTTGTCTTTCCCTCACCCCCAACAGAGAGATGCATTATCAGAATGTGCAGATACTCAGTCTCTTGTACAC